TCGGATCGGCAGCAATTAGTGATGGAATGGATCTTTACAAGAAATTGCTTAAGGCATTATTGTTGATAAATTATCAAAGGTTTATAAAACAAATTTCTGAGTATCTCAAATAACATTGTCATCTAAAAAAATCGGTCTAAATAATTGAAGTTTTTATTAGACTTTTTTCAGCCAAATCTTTCTCGATTTATAGGAAAATATATGATCTCTATCATGTTTGCCTGCATTTGCTTCAAATTTATAAAATTTTAAAATCTAATAAATATGTTGCTGAATACAGGAAATTGTGCCAAATGTATGGAATTTAAAATATAAACAAAATAAACGACCCCATGACCTAAAACTATCAAAAGTCATTAGAAACAAACAAACAAGCACCCTAACAAATAAAAGCCCTCAAACAAGTACTAAATTTTGATTGAATAAAACATTTGTCAAAATTCCCAACAAATATAAAAATCATACATAGAAAAACTGCTTCAACAAGAACAGACAAACTAAATAAAAAAAAAATTCAAAACAAAGCCACTAAAATCGAACATACATGTAAGGGAAAAAAACTAACCAAAAAAAATCCTTTTACCTTAATATTATTGCTGCTTTGCCCAACAACTGTCATATTTGATTATGGCATTATTAAAAATATGTATGAATTTATTGACTTAAATGCCAAAAAAAAACGAAACACTCTTCACTAAAGGAAGAGTTTATTAGCTTTAAACCAAAATACATCTTTATTTTACAATTTCCTTTTCGTACTCTTGTACTCGTACTAATGTTTAAATAATGTTTAAATATCGCTACTTTGCTTATAAAACGCCCCCTCATTATAGTCAACGCGTTTTGGACGCCCCTTGTATTAAACACAAGCAAACATTTACTCGTACACAACCTGGTGAAAAATATCGGCTAAATTTAGTTTAAAACCTTTGCAGAGACATTTGAAAACTGAAAATCGTTTTTTTGCATACATATAGTCAAAACACACACACACAATTTAACGGTAAATTGTTTACTGCCAAATACTTTTACAGCATAGAGATACTTCTTTTTATTGCTTGCCACATTATTAAACAATAAAATGGGCTCGTGGCATTTGTTTTTGTTATTCTACCAGTCCTCCTTTTGAAACTTCTTTTTTTTCTGGTTTTGGTTAAAAACATAAATATTGGTTGTATATAAAATAATGATAGACAATGGAAATACAGGGGAAAAACTAAGAAAATTTAGCTTTAGGAAGAAAAAGCGTACAATTTAGATTATACATTGCTAACTATTTTTACGGCCTGATTTCGGCATAAGTATCGATACTTTTTGACATTCTCTTTAAAAATTAACATTTATCAAAAGAATTGATCAATATTTTAATAGTCGATATTTATTTTACTGAATATTTCTATTAAATCAGAGTAAAAGGTTAACCACCATCAAGCTGTATGCCTTAAAAGAATGCTCCCCTATAATAATCAGGGCGAATATCATCAAATTGACTGAAGAGGACCTTATATGAGAGATATGGTTAATTATGGATCGTTTTTCATAAATTTTTTAGACCAATTTTGGTTCATATAAAACATCTTTACTTCGAATATCACTTCCCGACACTTTCCGCATGAAATTCGGTAGGAAGATTTACGTTCCTATAAATGTTTCTTATATCAAATTTCATAGCTGTACACGTATTTTTAAGTCAGCAATGATCGTTACAGTAATTTTCCCTTGGACCGATCCTCAATGGATTTGGTAGAGAGATTTTAACTCGTATAAAACATATGTGTGTCGAATTTCATCGCTTTTCTGGTATTTTTAAGCCAGTAATAAGCTTTAAAGTCATTTTCTGAAGGGGAACTTATATGGGGGTCAATCATATGCAGATTCTCATAAAAGTCAATAGAGAGGTTCTGGCTCGTAAGAAACTTACTTATGGATCAAACCACATAAAATTTGGTTAAGAGATTTTGGCTCGCAAGGAATTTACTTGGGTCGAATTTCATCGATTTACTCGTATTTTTAATTATCTGAAGGGGATCTTATAGGAGGGTAATTATGGACCAATCCACACAAAATTTGGTTAAGAGATTTTGGCTCGCAAGGAACTTACTTGGGTCGAATTTCATCGCTTTACTCGTATTTTATTCATTTTCTGAAGGGGACCTTATATGGGGGTAGGATCAATTATTGGCGGATCCTCATAAAATTTGGTAGGGAGATTTTGGATCATATGAAACTTATTTATGTCGAATTTCATCGCTATGCTTGTACTTTTAAAGCTGTTTTTCGGGGGTTCACTTGTATGGGGGCTATCCGAAAACGTGGACCGATATTGCCCATTTCAATACCAAACAAACCTTGCCCATACGGTGAAAAATTCAATCCTCTATTTCGTTCCGTACGGACTCTATCGTGCTTTCAACAATCAGACGGACGGACGGACTCTCCGACCTAATTAGATATATATATTTTTGTAGGTTTATGACTATATTTCGATGTGTTACAAACGGAATGTCAAAATCAATATACCCCCATCTCTTTTGATGTTGGGTATAAAAATTTAAATATTTGGGATTTTTTTTTTTAGTTCTAGGAATTAACTTTTTTAATAATCATAATTGAAAACATTTAAAAAAATTATTATACATACCTTCGACTCACAGTCACTTTCTGCCCATTTTCATAAAAAGAGACTCATTACCTCAGCCCCTATTTTATTGTCCTTTAGAAAATTAATTCACTTAAAAACAACTGTATCACAAAGAAAAGCATAAATAACTTATATATAACATAAAACCCTCCACCACATTTTATGAGGATACCACATTTGACCTTAGTCCCCATATAAATGCTCTTTAAAGAAAAACAACTTATTGATAAATAGCTTAAATATATCAGAACCAATGCTACATAAATGATGAATATATCGAATTTTAAATATACTTACAACTTGTGTAGTGTATCTTATGTCTGTGTTTATACTTTCTTACAGGTCCAAATGGTACTAAATTGGATTTATTAATTTATATTAATTTTTCCAAATACATATTTATCGAAAACAGATCCAAATCAACCGTTATTCAAATGTCAACTGTTGCCTTATTTTATTAGACATTAATGTTTGAAATATATATTTTCTAAATAAGTTGAAAAGTGGCTAAATTATGGTTTGACACGTTATATTCGTCTGTCTATCTGTTGTTTCTCGTTTTTATAAAAGTGAACATCTCCGTAGCGAGAAATCCCATTAAAACGCAAATTTATATATTTTTCAAAACTTTTTTCTTGGTATTTTATTCAAGTGCTTGTTGTCGTTATTAAATTTTTCAGTTTTCATAAATTTGGTCTTTTATTAGCCGAGAACTGAGAGATTTTTATTTGATTGTTTGCAATAAAACTTGTTTACGCCTAGTAACGCCTGGTGTTTGTTGTGTCTATTACTGAGGAGGGTAAATTATTGTCTCAGTTTAGTAATTTTTACTAGGTAATATTAAAGTTTAAATTTTAATTTAATTTTTGCCTAAAAAATATGTATGTATTTAAAAATAGTTTAAAATTAAAAAAAGAAAAAACAAACTCGAATATAAACAAACACGACCTACATCACAGAAATTGTCGAATGTTAAAAAAGTTTTCATGTGTGGAAAGTTTGCATGTGAGTAGAGAAAATTACAGAGTTTATAGGAATGCATTCTTTAAATATAGTTAATCAGCAATGTAACGGTGATATTGCAAGATTTTTATTAGCTAATACAAGACTTAAATTCATACATATCCAACATAAAGTATGCATTCTTTCAAATGTCTACATTTAAAACTTTTACATTCATTCATTAGACGGATACGTTATTTTGACTATAAAAAACTGTGCTATTTTAATTTTTTCCCAAAAATAGAAACTAAAACTAATACAAACGCAAACAAAAAAGACTTTAAACTAAAAATGTTGTCAAAAGTACATCAATCACTAAGGAAAATATCTATCTAAATGGAATTTCCGATTAAACTTAAAATTAATTATCTCTCATTTAATTAAAGTGTATTTAAGCATAAAAACTACAAACCACGCACACTTACAGACTCAGCAAAATATCTACACACTCTCATAGATACTAAACTCTATACGCTTAAGTTAACAAGAAGGCATTCTGTTTTTTCTTTTTTTTTTTTTTTGAATTTAAAAAACGCGCCAATTTATTTTAGATGTTGTTTAGTTTTACCATGTGCCACAATATGTACGACAACTACTGACTACACAAACCTACAGACAAATTTATCAGTTTGTACTAGTGTTTTCTATCCTTGAAAATAAAATTAACCGAATGAAAAAAAATTGTATCTGAAAGTAGAATGAAGAAATCCAAAGAGTTTTTTTAGTATCAAAGCAAATGTCGAAGAAGTAGTGAGAAGAGACATGAAAGACGAGAAACTAAAACTAATGACCACCTCATAATACAGTAGACAGTAACCAGACTACAACCTACAACAAAAATAACAATAAATGCCAACAATCTTGCAACAGCAACAACTAAAACAACAACATACATGCTGGGCCACAAAACATACTTCAAACCAAGCAACCATCATCCATCACTCAAGTTTGTGTTTAAGGTTCCTGAAATGTTTTATTTTCTTTTTTATATGGAGTACAAAATTTCAGTCGGCCTGTCAGCCAACGATAGGAAAGGAAGAAATGTTCCTACAAAACAATAATTGTTGTAATGGACAGGTTGGATGATGTTTTATTTTGAAATTGCATTTAGGAGGCATTAGTAGTTGCACAAAGAGTTTATTTTAAGTCAAATGGCATGTTAAGGAAACGGAAGTTAATTTAAATTAGAATCATTTTGTCACAATTCATTGGGGTCTTAATGAATCAAATGCCAACTTGCGTCAAATTGAGAATTCAATTATATGTAAACTAAAAATCTAATATTAATATTTAAAATTATTTACTATTTGTAGTTTTATCTAACTAATTTTAACCTCAATCCCTCTCTCCCTTTTAGGTACTGTTAATGCCAATGGTGAAACAAAACGACAACGGACCTCATATACCCGCTATCAAACATTAGAACTTGAAAAAGAATTCCATTTCAATCGTTACCTGACCCGCCGAAGACGCATCGAAATCGCTCATGCTCTGTGCTTAACCGAACGCCAAATTAAGATTTGGTTCCAGAATAGACGCATGAAATGGAAAAAGGAACACAAAATGGCTTCAATGAATATAGTGCCCTATCATATGGGTCCCTATGGTCACCCCTATCATCAATTCGATATTCATCCGTCACAGTTTGCTCATTTGAGCGCATAGGACGCGTGGCACTTTTCGGGTACTGGTTAGAGGCTCAATCAGTTGTATCAGGAACCATATCAGGCGGCGGCAGCAGCAAGTGTAGCCGGCGGTTATCAAACACAAAACTCCCAAGACTTGGTAGGCGGCAGTGGTGGCGGCGGTGGAGGTGTTAACAGTGCAACGAGTGGTGTCGTTGGTGGCACAAATGCACTGTTCGCCTCTGCTGCAGCTGTGGCGTCGTCGACGACGTCAAATGCCGATTGTGTTAAATATCCGCAAGAATTCTGATCTCAAGTTATCATTGGACCGCAACAGAGACTAATGTCATCATCGTCGGCATCTGCATTGTCATTATCCGATAATCTGGCTGTAGAAGATGATGAAAATTATCATTCTCAAAGTAATCATCCACATCCTCCCCATAATCATCATCATCATCTACTACCTCAGAATCATCAGCTCTGTAAGCAGGAGTTTGATACAAATTCACTTTTAAATGACACTGCCTGCGATACACGTAATGATACTGAGATCAGTAATGATAACGACTTGTACTGCTGCTAAAAATAACGCAAAACTATGACATCAGCCGCTGTTGTTTGTTGAAGAAGAACATAAAAAACACTCAAAAAACAAAGATGTGATCAAAATGATATCAAAATATATAGAAAATTATTTGAAGTTCCGAATACAACTGATTTGAGCTAAGCTACAAGAAAAAGAAACGAACTTTTTTTTACAAGTGTACAAATTTAACAGCAAAAGATTAGCAGTGTGTGTAAAGGAATGTATTCCATTGCTGAGAAACATTAACTGCAATTATTCTTCAAAAAGTTCGTTTGTTTTTTTGGTTTATAATACTGGTTCAAAAATTTATTTTGACTTATTATTTTTTTGTATATTTTTTTTTGGTTTATATTATATTATTATTTGTTTAAATTATAATTTAGAAAAACAAAATTCATTTATTATAAAAAAGAAAAAAATTTCTTAAGCCGTCCAGTATGATAAACCAACTACTTTAATTCTCTAAGCAGTATTCGAAAAGAGCCTTTAGTTCTGTAAGTTAGTTTTAGAAAAAATGTATTTAATAAGTTAGTTTTAGGTCTATAAAGTATATTTATATAAATTGAAAGCGAATTAGAATTTTGGTAAATAAATTGTTCATATTCTGTATTCTAAAAAGATTTATGTTAATTTTAAAATAAATATACATGAAATGCTATAAAATTGGTTCCAATTTTCAACATTCTCCAATATTTAAATTTTTCGATACATCATTAAAAAGTAAATTAATTTCTTGATTTTCTAAAATCATTCAGTTTACCTAATAACTAATTTCTTATTAAATATCTTAACTTAAATGTGAAATTTTTCCAAACCATAGTTTTATTATTCTAAAATTGTAATTCGCTTTTGATTCTTTTTCTTTAGCTTAAGATGATTTTTCTCCAATCTGAATGTGTGCTCTTTTGTTAAATATTTGTACCCCCCACAACTCATAAATACTTTTTTAAACTATTTCGGAATTAATTTGTTTTAAACTTTGTTAATTTTATTAAATGTTATGTTCGTTTTAAATTTCATTATTCACCTCAATTGTTTCAAAATTATCTTTACGAAATGGAAAATATTTAATTAAATAATTCTTTTTTCGAATTTCAAATGATAATTTTAATTATAAATAATTCATTTTTGAATTCGAAATGAAAAAAACTTCAAAATGTTTATTAAAAGTTATGGTTTTATACACAGATGAAAAAAAATATACACGCCTGGTACCAAATTGACAAAAAATTTTTCAATAACATCAAGTCAAGTATATACAAACATACAACAACAACATGTAATGTAGACCATGCAACTTTGTCAGCATTGCAACAATTCGTTGTCGCAATCTAAACTTTATGCACATCCGTTGTCTAAATGTTAACAAACGTGTTAAGCTCACTATTTACAACGCATTTTGAGCTTACCATGTTTGTGAACTTTTAGACAACGGATGTGAATAAAGTTTAGATTGCGACAATGAATTGTTGCAATGTTGTATGTATGTATCTATTTGACAACGGATGTTATTGAAAAAATTAGTGTCAATTTGGTACCAGGCATGTGTCCTTTACCAAAATGACTTATCTTAATTTTTTTTTTTCGAATAATAAACTAAATAAATTAAATCAATAGCTATGTATGTATTCGTTTATCACATCAATAGTAATTTTATTTAATATTTTATTACCATTGTGTTAAATGTTTTATTTTTTTATAAATTTTAATGCTACTAGTACTTAATATTATTAAAATCTTAAAAATTTTCCTTTGACACATTATTAAAAATTTGAATACAATTACAAATTCTTTTAAAGAATTTTTTTGTTTTTAAATCATATGAGTTCAATTTGTAAAAAATGTCCAAATTTCTACAATTTAATTTTACAAATTGAAATTTCAATGTATTTCTCTCATGTTTTTGTTATATATTTCTTACAAATGCTTTACGTTTTTAAAAATGTTTTAATTTTAAACTAACTTTTATAAAAATAAATAATATAAATAAAAATATTTAAAAAAACAAATTCGGGAACACAGGGCCGATAAAAATTTAGTACTTTGTTTAATTATTTTTTATAGTTTTAATAGTGATACATTAATTTTGTTTAAATTATACCTAAATTCATTTTATAAAATAATTTGCAATAGTTTTTGTTTAAATTAAATGTCTACTATTACAAAAATGAATTAATAGTTGTAAAAAATCATCTATGTAAAAATGTTAATAATTTATAAATAAAAACTAAAAAAAAAAAAAATATTAGCCAGTAAGTAGGGTTTTATTGAGTAAATAAGAAAAACATCAGGTTTAATTGTTGTTTTAATATAAAATTATAAAAATTATTATAAATATTTAACTAACATTAGTTTAATATATTAAAAAAACACTACAAACATATAAACGAATTAAACAAAAATAATTTTAATAAGAACGATCCTCTTTAGTAATTAATACAAAAAATGATCACTATCATTAAAATTAATAATCTATAATTTAAAAATAATAAAATTTAATAATAAAAAAATATTTATAATTGTATAAGGTTAGTGCATCATTTTAAAGGAACTAAATTTTAATTATTTTTATTAAATTTTTAAGTTTATCAATAAAAATTGCAAAAGAAAATAACTTTCTTACTTTAATAAAAACTCAACATAAACTAGTAAATATTTTAGCACAAATTTATTGTTTTCTTTTTTATTTATACAAATTAATATTATTTAGTTTTTTTTTTCATTAAACAAAATGGGCATATCCCACTCGCGCTCTTAAATTTTAAGACATCAATCACATGTTTTATAAAAAAATAAATAAAATTCTTTATCAAAATTGCAGAATTTTTATAGCAAAATTAAGCTGCATTCCATGTAAAATTTTAAAAACCACAAAAAGAAAAAAATGTTAAATAAGTATAAACAACAACAACAAAAAACATTTTTATCATCAACTGTAAATGTATTAAAAATAAAAAACTATAAAAATAATTTAATTATTAGTAAATAATATTAAAAAAAACAAAAACAAATGTACTTTAGTTTCGCAATATGTTAAAACAACAACAATTTATTATAATACTTAATAATATAAAATAAAACAAAGTAAATTAATTAAATAATATGTTGATACAAAAAATAAATTAAAATGCAAACAAAAACAACAAAAAGATCAATAAAAATTATTATTTTAAAATGTAATAAAAAACGGAACATGTGTTTTTATTTCGCTGTCCCTCTTCCCTCCTTTCTTACTTAAACCACAACAGATCATTAATAGTTTTCATATTTGATTCTCATTCATTCCAGTTGTTCTATTTATAGCATAATTAGGCAAAATCTATATTTTCAACAATTAGAACATATGCCCGGGTAGCTCAGTCGGTAGAGCATTGGACTTTTAATCCAAGGGTCCAGGGTTCAAGTCCCTGCTCGGGCGAGTTCAACTTTTTTTAATAAAAATATGTATATATTTTAATATATTTAAAATACAAAAAAAAAATAACAAAATGTGTACATAAATTATAAAAATGTCTTGACCCAAGTTTAACAGATTTAAACGCAAAAGGGACAGAAAATTATTGCGCAGCTTTTATCAAATTCAATGTTAAACAAAAACTATCATTACCCGGTGTGCTCGTTACCCTTATCGTAATTAAAAACAAGTAAGAAATTATAGTCGGGCGAGGCCGAGCATATAATACCCTACACCTGTTCCAAAAATAGAATGTGATTTAGTATTCATAATAAAGCATTTAAGTGAATTGTAACTTGCCTGAGATATAATTTATCCATTTTTTGTTGAATAAAATTGTGTACATTTAAGTCATATTTCGAAGGGGGCTTTGTATAGGGGCTATCATCAAAAAATTCATCACGGTCATCAATGCTATTACATAACTTGGTTTTGCAGTTTTTTGTCGAGATACGAGTACATTAAACATTATTATAAACTTAAAAGCCCTATTCGGGGTGTTCAGTTGTACGGGGGCTAGATCATATATTAGACCGATGTTACCGATTTTCAATAGGATTCGTCTCTAGTACAAAAGAAGTTTATAGGCAAAATTTCATTGAATTATCTTTAAAATTGTGACCTCTAGTTTGATTACAAGGTTTACAAGCCATTTTCGGTTGTTCAGTTGTATGTGGGTTAGGTGATCATAACCATTTTCCATAGACTTCGTCCCTGAGACAATACAAGATCATATATAACTTGGTATATTTGAAAATCAATGACACTTGTTGTTATTATATACATACATGGGCAATTTCGTGTCAGGTGAGCCAATTTTTAAAATCGATGTCTTTCGAAATTTGCACCACGGTTAGTACTATTGGATAGTAGGCCAGACACAAATTAAAAAACAATGAATAAATAGCTATCTGAACTCCTTTGGACAATTTTTGCTAGGACCAATAGGTGGAAAGTTACACTCATGACCAAAATGTCCAACTTTGGCCGCCTCTAACTCCGGCAGTTCTTGACCGATCGAGCAGAAAATTTGTGTCTGGCCTAC